CTAATGTAAATATCCATCCGGATGTTGATAGTGAATTTTAGATTTCAATATTCCAATTAGCATCACTATACCCTTCCAACATTCCGGGATAACTCACATATTTTAGGTCATAATTGATAGTTTTTTTCAAGTATCTTAATACTCGAGATCTAGCATCCCAATGCTCTTTACTAGGGCCTACTAAGTGCCCATCGTATATGCAATGTTAGGCCTCGTACTAGTCATTGCATACATTAAACTACCAATTACCCTAGCATATTCAAGTTGATATATATATTTTTTATCATTTTTCTTTAACTTAATATGAGGATCTATAGGGGTAGAGACATGCTTACTATCAGTATGTTCAAATTTATTAAGCAATTTTTTAATATACTAAGGTTAAGTCAAGATTAATACTTTTTCTTTTGTCACTATTTTGATACCAAGTATTACATCAGCCTCTCCTAAGTCGTTCATATTAAAGTTAGATGCAATGAACTTTTTAGTTTCCTCCACAATGTTTAGATTAGAACAAAAAATAATCATGTCATCTACATATAAACAAACTATGACACATAAAGAATTTATTTTTTTACTATACACACATTTATCACCATCATTTCTCTTAAAACCAATTGACGTCATCACATTGTCAAATTTCTTTTGTCATTGTTTAGGTGCTTATTTAAGTCCATAAATACAAACTTTATTCTCATAACTTGGCGTTACAAACTCTTCGGGTTGTTCCATATATATTTCTTCATCTAAGTCACCATTTAAGAAAGTAGTTTTTACATCCATTTGATTTATGACTAGATGATTGATAGAGGCTATTGCTAAGAGTAATCTAATGGTAGAAATTATTGCTACTGGTGCATATGAGTCAAAATAGTCGATGCCTTTTTTAATTTAAAACCTTTAGCAACTAATCTTGCTTTATATCTATTAATAAAACCATCAGAACTCATTTTCTTTTAAAAATCCATTTGCAACCAATGGGTTTAAAACTAGGTAGAAGATCTACTAATTTTGAAGTTTTTGTTAGCTATAATATTATCCATTTCATTATTTATAGCTTCTCTCCAAAAAATTGCATCTTGAGATGCCAAAGATTCATTTAGAGATGTAAGATCTTCCCCCACATTTGAAACTATAGGTAATGAATTCAAATTTTTATTTTGATTAGCCTCAACAAGATAAATATAAAAGTCAGGTCCAAAGTTCTAAGATGGAACACCTCTAATTCTCTTACTTCTTCTTGGTTCTATTATTTCGTAATCATTATTTTCTACATGTTCTTCATCAACATTATGATCATTTTCATGATTATTTTTATTTTGGGTGTTAATTGATTTATTCACTTCCCTTTTACAAGTGAGATTTTAAAAAAATTCAACATCTCTAGATTCCAAAGTTGTGTTAGAAATTAGATCAAAAAATCTATAAGCTTTACTATTTAGATAATATCTCAGAAAAAATGGTTTAGATGTTCTAGGACCCAATTTATTTCTTTTAGGATCAAGAAGTCTAATATATGCTAGACAACCTCTTACTTTGAAAAAATTCGGAGAAGGTTTTTTATCAAACGAAAGCTCGTAATGGGTCTTATCATACTTTTTATATGGAATTCTATTCAAAATAAAGCATGCAGATAATAAAGTTTCACCCCATAAATTTAATGGTACAGAGGAAGAAATAAACATAACATTTACCACTTCAACTAAAGTTCTATTTTTCCTTTCCGCTAGTCCATTTTGTTAAAGGGTATAAGGGGAAGTTACTTGATGAATAATGTCATTATTTTCACAAAATTTATTAAGTCATTTCATAAATATTCTCGTCCTCTATCAATTCTAATAGTTTGGATTTTCCTTGATTTTCAACTTCTGCTTTGAAAACTTTAAATTTTTTAAAAGCCTCGTATTTATGTCTAAGCAAATAAACATAAGAAAATCTAGAAAAAACATCAATAGAGGTAATAAAATATCTTTTACCACCTCTAGTTAAAATGTTATTTAAATCACATACATTGCTATGTATAAGTCCTAGCAATTCACTATTTCTTTCAATTGAATGAAAGGGTTTTCTAGTAATTTTAGCTTGTACACATACTCAACATTTTTCTTTAATTAATTCATCACAATCATAAATTAATCCTAATTTAACTAAAGATTTAAATGGAAGCATCATTAACATGTCCTAATCTCCCATACCACACATTACAAAAGGCAACAGTATATACAGAAGACTTATTCATTTCATTAACAAGATCAAACTTAAATATCTCATCACATGAGTATCCCTTGCCAACAAATATACGATTTTTTGTCCAGATGAGTTCGTCAGACCCAATGACCATTTTAAATCCCTTCTTTATCAAGATACATCCTGAAACAAGGTTTCTTCTCATGTCGGGTACGTAATACACATTTTATAAGGTGAATACCTTTCCCAAACTAAATTTTAGTTCCACCGTACCATTTCCAAACATATTTTCTATAGCTTAAGGTCCAAGTTGAACTGAATTAATGTCACCCACTGGTTCAAAAGTCTTAAACATGTCTCGATTGTTAGACACATGAATGGTAGCAATGGTATCAACCCACCATCTATTATATTTATCGATCATATGCACTTCGGTGACCATTGCTACAAATTTTTCTTCAGTGGTCAAGTTCATTTGGTTTCTAAGCCTTTTGAGCCTTTTTTAGTGTCGGTACTCTCTTGAATAGTGTCCCGGTTTTCCATGTACATAACATGTGGCTTTGTTTTTATTATTGTTGACAATAAACTTTTGGATCTCATAATTTTCATTACGGACCATAGAAAAGAAAGGTTTCTTGTTATATGGAGCACTTGATATTTGCTCAACAAGGTTTGCCTTAGAGTAAAAATGAATTGATTCATCTTTCTTTTCCCTAAGTCTATTCTCTTCTTCAATTCGAAGAGATCTTTGAAGTTGAACCAAGTCAAAACCAACTTTCTTATGTTTCATCTTCTTTTGGTACTCACTCAAAGATGGGGTAGCTTATGAATTATTGAGCCTAATAAGAAATATTCATCCAAAGAAATACCACAATCTTTAAGTTCATTGACTACAATCTGTAACTCGTATACTTAAGAGAGAGAATAGGCTTGTTTTCAATTAATTTAAAATCTAAAAAGTTAGATATCAGAAATATTTTGTCACCAGACTCCTTCGTGAAGCACTTGGTTTGAAGTAGTTTCCACAGCTCTATCGTCGGTCCAATGGAGACATACATGTCATAGATCGAGTCCACCAATGCATTTAGGATATAACCTTTATATATATAGTCATCCTCCATCTGTACCTTGTATGATTGAGTTTGCTCTACGATGGAGCCATCAGATGGTGGCGGTGCATGCATTGCCTCGGTGACTATGTAAGCCACATTGAGAGTGGTAAGCAAAAGAGAATATTTTGCTACCATCTCTTGAAATTCAGCCGGTTGAGATGTTCGAATCGAGTAAAATTGTGATTCATGACTTTCAAAGAAGTTATGACAGTCTCCTTCTTTCACCCATCTATTATCGTCTTGAATTGTTGGAATTTGGTTGAGTGAAATAGAGACAGAAAATAGTACGATTTCAAAAACTTATATCTCGAACTCTTCCTGTTTTCAGGTACGTAGAAGCGCTTTCTCAAAACGATATTTGTCCCCCTTCGATATAGAATTTGATATGCATAAGAAGGGAACTTTGCCTCGGGATATAGGAAAATAGAGAGGTCTTTTTCAATGTTCCTAAGCACTATACACTCTAACTTGGAACCCACACAATAGACATTAGAGTCTTGATATTCTAGAGAGAGAAAGAGGCAAAATCGAGTACAGAGAAAGTATGTTAACCCATGGTTTTTCTCACTGAAATTGTAGATAATGGTATGTTGTTGAGAGGCTCAAAAGTTGTTGTAAGTATGCATCTCGTATGGGATAAAAGCCCCATTATATAGAGTTACTGGTTTTTCTCCCTGGAATTATAGAGAATGGTATATTGTTGAGAGGCTCAAAAGTTGTTCTAAGTATCCATCTTGTATGGGATAGAAGCCCCATTATGTAGAGTTATAAGTGGCTGCTCATTTACTATAGTATTTGGTTACATGCACCACCAATAGCTACAAGTTACATGCAGCCCCTTAACTGACTTGTAGTGATGATTAGAGGACCATTGGATATCCCACACGCATCAACATGCGAGCGTGTGAAGTGTAAAGTATGCCATCAAGCGCCCTTGCGCCCAAGCCCTCACATGTGCACGTGCGCGTCTCACATTTCACGTGCTTTGCACATGCACATCTCTCTCTTTTGTACTTAGAGTATATTACATGGGAATGTATACTCTTGAATACAGCTCAAGAAACTCTCTTCTCTTCAATTTGGCACATATTTCTCTCTTTACAAAAGCAATTTAAGAAAGAACAAGAACACCAAAGTTGTTTTGAAACACACTAAAGCATTTTTCGAACCAAAAATACTAACAGGTTTTGCCTTGGGATATTGTTGGAACGTTTTGTAGGAGGCCATTCTTTGCAAACTTGCCAATGTTGGAGATAGAAAAAATTTAAAGAACCATACCAAGAAGAGATACCCTTAAGGCCTTTGTCCCATACTGGCTAACCATACTTTTTTACAAGCCTTTAAACAAAGTTATGAGATATGGAAAAACTAACAAGATGGTTACAGTTATCAAAATCCTGACCCTGTTGAATTATAACTTCATGACAGGCTAGGCTAATCTAGTGAGGCATTCTATTGGATCGATTTCCTCATATATCATGCTCAGTCTTTTAGTCTCAATATCTTGAACTATGATAACACCTTCACTAGGGACGACTTGCTCACTCACATAATTCCGAGGACCACATTAAACCTGGAATGGCTAATTGGAAAGTGCTCTTAGTGAACCACAGCCACAATATACATATTTTAAACCAGAAAACAAACATAAAGATCGAAAGCAAAGTTTTAATGCGTTCCATGTTGGTGGGCTATTTTCAGGAAGTGTAGGTTGATTTCCTACAAAATATGAATCACTGGTTGCTTGATTTGTACAAATTAACGAGAGAAGGCTTTTCCAACCTGCATGCTACATTGCAAGCATCACTTACATCTACCGTTGCCATGGCTCAGTAACTCCGGGTATGATACACAATTGTCATGGTTCTAGAGTCATATTGCATTAAATTTGCTAAATGTGCTTTAAGCTTGTCCAAGGATCCATTTCATTGAAAGTCAATTCTCATAAGCTTGGTTTTTTCCATGTTAAGTCTGGGCCCATGAAATAAATGACAGTCATATTCTAATTCAAGCTTTTGTGGTTTATTTTTATTCTTTTCTTGACTTGTTGACGGGGTGGGAATAAATCCTTGTCCTTAGGAGTGGGAATTGGGTCGGGTCGACACATGAGATGGGTTGTCCAGATTGGATTTCAGTTTGGATCGAAATTTTAAACTTGATGGGCCATGTCTGGGTCCATTTTGACATTGACCCAATCAGGATTGGGTCTGTGTCCAGCTTAGATCTTTTTTAATCGGGTCAAGTTCGAGTTGGGTGAAACCAACATGATCTTACCTGACCCAACTCAATAAATATATAGATACAAATTAATAATATTAAGTATATAATATAAAAAATATACTATAAATTTTTTATTTGTTTATAAAACTAAATATTTAAATAAAAATAGTCAGTTCAGGTCAGATCCAACATATAACTAATTTGTGTGCTACGGAGCTGTGGTCTTTATGGAAAGAAAGAAATTCACAGGTATTCGAGGGAGTCTCAAATGGTTGAGATGAGATCTCTTGGGGGATGATGAAGTTGATAGTTCTCTGGGCTCAAGCATCATCGTGTTTCAAAAGCTACCCAAAAGAGTTCTTCACTACCAAATTTGTAGTGTTAATCTCACATCAACCACACAAAATGGTTAAATCCTCTCAGTGGATCCCCCTTCAGTTGGCTGGCTAAACTTAAACTTTGATGGCCATGTTAGATCCGAGACTCAAAAAGCTCGTTATAGTGAGATTGTTAGGGATTACCGGGAATATAATCTTCTCCTATTTTGGGGATCTTACCTTTTGTGACATCAGTGAGGCAGAATTGACGGTGGTCAAAAAAGATATCTCTCGGATTCAGAATGATCATAACTGCAGTATTATTGAAGGAGACTCAGCCAATGTTATCAAATGGTGCACCCACCCACCCTCTATTCCTTGGCAATGGACCTCCATTTTGGATGAAATTATATTGGCTATCTCTGCCAAGGAATTCCATTTATGCTACATTAACAGAGAAAAAAATGGCGTTGCTGATGCTCTCGCGAAATTAGCTACTTCCTAAGCCCTCTTCTTTCTCTCTTTCCTTTTTTCTTTCTCTCTTTTCCTATGTTTTTTTTTTTTTGCCATGAAATTTCTCATTTACTTAATGAAATCCAATTTGACGATAGCCATGATGGATTTGAGACCGCTTTTTCTAAACATTTTGGACTTACTTCAAATAATTATGCAGAATTATAGGCTTTAGAAGAAGTTCATTCTTTTAGTTGTTCAGAAGGGTCTTCCCAATACTGATAGAAACATAGAGATTACAAATGGTAGGAGACAATTGTCGTGCCAGGCTCTGGCCCTACAGGTGGTCTATTGCCCATACTTTTCGAGAGGCCAACATGGTAGCTAATGCCCTCGCTAAAAAATGATCGATTTACTCAAGCGCTACAATTTGGCATAGTTGTACGTGGGATTTTCTTTCTTTTCTTTTATTATATGATTTAACACAACTGCTCTATTATAAGGTTGTAAAATAATATGTTATTCCTTTTCAATTAATAAAAATTTGGGTAGGAGCAATGGTTTAAAAAACGGATCGGTGACCCGGATCGGGCTTCCAAAAAACCGATCCGGATCGGCGAATCGGTGATCCGGATCGGGAATGGGGTGAATTGATCGGAATAAAGCTTAAAAAAAAATCGAAAACATTATTAAAATTCATTCTAAATATTATTTTTTAGGAATTCAATAAAAAATGAGGGTACTCCATTAAGAATTTTTATGTTTTTGAATGAATATGCGAATATTGATATGTTCTTTCCCTGCATGAACCGCCATTCGGCATTTAATTTACAGTATTTCGTGCTCATCCCTACACTGTTACTGTTGGGACTCGATATGTGAATA